AGGGGAGCATCCCCCACAGCCACCAGTCTGCTCAATGGGAGGATAACGGGTAGCATCTCCTCCCTCCTTCCCTCCACTCTCTTCCTGTTGAAATCTTTATCACCCATTGGAAGCTGAAGGGGGGCAGAGGGGGTGTGTGTGTGTGTGTGTGTGTTGCAAATGCAGACCCCTGGAGCTGTTTAATAGCATTCATGTGCTGGGGGGGGACTTGCTGCTGCTGTTTTATTCCCCCCCCTCTCACACACGCACACACATACCCCTGCACTTCCACCATCAAAAGACAAGGTGCCTGGATCTGCTAATTGCTGAGCTAAGTACCCTGGGCAGCTGGCGTCAAATTAAATCAATGAGCATTTTACCAGGAGCAAACAAATATTAGCTAGGCATTAGGCAGCGTGGGGCCTGGGGGGGGGGGACCGGGGGCCACTGAGCTACAAGGGGGGGAAAAAAAAAATAACCCAGCCTCGTGTGCCACAGGATGTTTGTCTGTCCTGTGCCAACCTCTGTTCCTCATCAATCCATCCTCACGCCTCCCTTCTCTCTCTCTCCCTCCTCTCCCTCTCCGTTCATCCTTGCACACAGTTTTTTTATGTCCATCCATCCCTCCCTCTCCCCATTTCCTTCTCCAACCATCCGTCCCGCTGGTTTCTCATCCCTGTCCCTCCTCACGCTGTCTTTCCCCCTCTCCATCGCTCACAAACTGCTTTTATCCACCTCATCCACCCTCCATCCCGCTCCCTCTGCCGTCCCCATCACCTCCTGCCCCTTGGTCCCCCCCAAACCCAAGCAAGGAGAGGGTTGATGGTGCCCCCACTTCCCTCTCCTGTGCTGGGTTCGGCTGTTCCCCCCCTGCCCCTGACACTAAGATGGTGTCAGTGCACCCCATCCTTGTGCACCCCCATCCTTGTGCACCCCAGTGCCCACCCGACACACCGTTTCACAGCAGTGCAGGGAAGGGGCCTTTGGTCCCCCCCAAACCCAAGCAAGGAGAGGGTTGATGGTGCCCCCACTTCCCTCCCCTGTGCTGGGCACCCTCTGTGCTGGGTTTGGCTGTTCCCCCTGACACCATGATGGTCAGTGCACCCCATCCTTGTGCACCCCGTCCTTGTGCACCCCAGTGCCCACCCCACACACCGTTTCACAGCAGTGCAGGGAAGGAGTCCTTGGTCCCCCCCAAACCCAAGCAAGAAGAGGGTTGATGGTGCCCCCACTCCCCTCACCTGTGCTGGGTTTGGTTGTGTCCCCCCTACCCTTGACACTGTGATGGTGTCAGTGCACCCCATCCTTGTGCCCCCCCATCCTTGTGCACCCCCTCCTTGTGCACCCCAGTGCCCACCCGACACACCGTTTCACAGCAGTGCAGGGAAGGGGCCTTTGGTCCCCCCCAAACCCAAGCAAGGAGAGGGTTGATGGTGCCCCCACTTCCCTCCCCTGTGCTGGGTTTGGCTGTTCCTGCCCCCAACACTGTGATGGTGTCAGTGCACCCCGTCCTTGTGCGCCCCCATCCTTGTGCCCCCCCATCCTTGTGCCCCCCCATCCTTGTGCCCCCCCATCCTTGTGCACCCCAGTGCCCACCCCACACCCCGTTTCACAGCAGTGCAGGGAAGGGGCCTTTGGTCCCCCCCAAACCCAAGCAAGGAGAGGGTTGATGGTGCCCCCACTTCCCTCACCAGTGCTGGGTTTGGCTGTTCCCCCCCTGCCCCCGACACTGTGATGGTGTCAGTGCACCCCGTCCTTGTGCACCCCCATCCTTGTGCACCCCAGTGCCCACCCGACACACCGTTTCACAGCAGCGCAGGGAAGGGGCCTTTGGTCCCCCCCAAACCCAAGCAAGGAGAGGGCTGATGGTGCCCCCACTTCCCTCCCCTGTGCTGGGCACCCTCTGTGCTGGGTTTGGCTGTTCCCCCTGACACTGTGATGGTGTCAGTGCACCCTGTCCTTGTGCACCCCCATCCTTGTGCACCCCAGTGCCCACCCGACACACCGGGGGCAT